GGGCAGAGGGTACAGGGGCAGAACCTGGGGTCCGGGCGGGCGGGCAGCTCACCTTCTCAGCGCGCACCTCGATGTGGTTATTGGACGTGGTGACGATGATGTCCTCAGGGGAGAAGTCGCTCACGTCCACTGCAAACTCATAGGCATCGCCGAGTGTCTTGATGTTGCCCGGCCCCCCAGTGCGGGCTGTGGGGAGGGCTGCCGTGAGCCGAGCACAGAGCAGGCTTGCACCCAGAACTCAGGCTTCCGGCTCCTTCTCCTGGGGAGAGGGGAGGCCCCCCAGGCCTGACTTCCCTTTCAGTTATTGCTCCTAACATCCCTGCCCACCCTCCTCACCTCTTGCAGCCTGCCTTTTCCATGGCGGGGCTGGAGCCTCGCCAGGCACAGGTGTGTGTGTGAGTGTGTGTGTGTGTGTGTGTGTGTGTGTGTGTGTGTGTAGCAACCCACCCCACACCTAGAGTAGGGGATGCATCCCCCCCTCAACCTCATGCAGCCCCTCAGAGCTCCAGCTCCCTCTTTGGCCATCAACACCATAGCTGACCCCTGGCCACACCTGTTCCTTGAAGGCCTGCCTGTTCTCATGGCCACATCTGTCTCTGTGGCCACATCTGTCCTGGTGGCCACATGCAGCTGCAGCCACAGCCACATCCAGAGGTGCCCGGAATCAGTGTCCCCCCCGGGTGTCCCCCATCCCGCAGAGCCCCGAGCACTTGCCTGGGAAGGTCAGGGGCTCAGAGCGGGGCCTCATGAAGCTGCCAAAGTCCTCGGAAAACATGCTCAAGGCCTTCTCCATGGGTGGGTCCTGGGCTGGGAGGGCTCGGGCGGCTGAGGAGGCCGAGGCTGAGGCCGAGGAGGAGGAGGAGTGGAAGCTTCTCTCAGCTCTGAAGCTGGAGGAGGTCCGGTGGCTCATCCACAGCGGGCAGCCGGGCCCGGCCAGGCGGCAGGGTGGACGCAGGGGTGTGGGTGGCGGGCTCCGGGGGAGTGTGCCGGGCCCGGCTGCTGGCGCTTTATAAGGCCCGGCCGCCCGGGCGCAGGGCCAGCCCCTTGTCTACCGGCTAAATTTAGGCCTCGCCGTGGCCCAGAGGGGCTGGAAATCTTCTCCAGTGAGACGGTCCTGCTGACAGTCCAACGCACGCAGGCCCGTGAGGCTGAGCTCATAGCCTGGCATTCCAGGCCGATAACTCCAGCCCTGGGGCCGCACAGCAGCGGGGAGGGCGCCAGAGCTGTCCCCTTGCCACTCAGACCCCGCTCCCGGGACCTGTGTGTGTGCGTGCGTGCATGCGTGCGTGCGTGCGTGTGTGTGTGTGAGTGTGTGTGTGGGGGGGGGGGGTCCGTTTCTCTTCCCCATCAGCCAGGGGCTCTTAAGGACTCTGCCTCCCCTGTTAGAGGGCATACTCCTTGTGGCCAGGCTTTTCTATGTCCTGTCCCCTCTCCCCTGAAGTCCCAGCTGTGGTAAGAGGGGATCTGAGTGGTAAGGGGTCAGGGACCAGGAGATGCCTGGTCAGGAGGTCGGGGTGGGTGCAGGACCCCCACCTGCTGGACCCCTGTGTGAAGTGAGGGGCTCCTTCCCTCGGGGCAGACAATGTTTATAGACATCTCTTAGGGATGGGGGTTGGGGGGTGAGAATGTGCAGCTGTGCCCCTGCCAGCTCCCACTGGGACCCAGACTCCATGCTTGACCCCCCCCCCCCCCCCCCCGCACACTCTGGAACATTTTGGGGGCCCCAAGAGGAGGAAGCTAGCAGCTTGAGGCAGGGCTGGGGGTTGGGGCCCACGCAGGGAATTTGGTAATTGCCCCTAAAGATCTGGAGGTTGTATTTCTGGGAACTGCTTGACCTCCGGCTTGAGGAGCCCTGGGACGCAGCGGGCAGGAGTTCGGGAGGCAGAGAATTCCGGAGACAGTCCTTCTAGCTCTGGCTTCAGGGCCTGCGGGCTCCTGGGGAGGAGCTTCCAGGATGGTCCATTTGCTCCCCACACAGCTCTGAAAGGAGGCGTCACCCCCATTTTATAGATGGGAGATAGCCACTCAGGGCAGGCCCTTTGCACAGGGCAAGCGGCACAGCTGGATTCAAACCCGGACATTTCTGATCCAAAGCCTCCTAGGAGGGCGGGTGACCCGAACACACATGTGTGGAGATGGGCTGGCCCGGAAGCCCCTGTGTGCTCCCCACAGCTCAGCAGAGCCAGGACTGACCTGGGAGGCGGGGTAAGGGGGCCAGGGAAAGGCCATTCTGAGAAGAGAGTGGGCCCTTTGCATCTGCCCAGGCTGCAGTGTGGGGCCTCCGCTCTCCTCTCCAAGTCCTGCCTTCCTCCCCCACGGAGGCCTCTCTGATTGCTGCAGTGCACACCAGGGGCCCCTGCCCCGATGCCCACAGTGCCGCCTGTCTGCTCACCCAGCTCCTGGTAGTGTAACCTGGTCCTCCTGGGTCTGTGAGACTGACAGCTCCTCCAGGGCACAGTTCACTGTGTCCCCGTTAGAGTGGGAGTTCCCGAAGGTGGGCGCTGCTTCTCTTTCCTCTGGCTCCCACAGAACGTCATTCTTGGGGGCTCCATCTATAGGGGTGGTCCCTGAAGGGGGGCCAAGGCAGTGGCTGGGGAAAGAGGGCTCCTTCACTCCAGGGGAGATTCCTGCCTGGAATTCCTGCCCCTGACACCCATCCTGGCCCAGGGGGCTGCCAGGAAGTCGCCAGCACCGAGGCAAGATGGGAAGAGGGTGGGGGAGGGGTGGGGGGGCCCATAAGCCTGCCGCCCGCCAGGGAAACAGGAGCCAGTGGCTAAATGCAGACACACTGTCATGGTGCTGAGGGCCTGAGTCACTGCTCCTGGACGTCAGATCTCATTCCCCACCTCTGCCCACCGTCCCTCCCCCCGCCCCCCTTCCCGAGCCATCGCCCACACATATACTGCCTCCACTGGCTTCAGCGGCCAGGAGGGACCCTGAAGGTCATCGGGGCCATCGCCCTGTCTCTGGGCCTGCCTCTCCCTTCAGATCACAGGGATAGAAGGAGCTTCAGAGATGATCAAATGCCCTGAATCCCCAAACCTGCCAGGGCATCCAATCACCTGAGGGAATTTGGACAAACCCAGAGCCTTAACCTGCACCCCAAGATTCTAATTTGGGGCCCTGGGAAGGGACCAGGAATCTGGTCCCATCAGCTCTCCACACAGCCAGCCCACAGGCCAGTGCTTGGAAACCACCCAGCACTCAGTAGGTTTACTGAACACTTACTATGTGCCAGGCACTGTTCCCAGCTCTGGTGTGAATGAGGCTGAGGTAGGCCCTGCCCCACAGCTCCCAGGCCCCCCTTACCGGACAGAAGAGGAAACCGAGGCGCTGAGTGTGGGGGACCAGTTGGGGGTGGAGGAGCTGCTATGGCTTTAATTAAGCCTGTTCTCCCTCCGCTGCTGCTGGGGTTCGATGAAGAAGGGGAAGAAGTGGAGGGGCTGGCATGTGGGGGTACAGAGCTTTGGGAGGGACTTGTCACAGCCACCACAACCCCCGCTGCCCTCTTCCCAGCTTCCTGGTGCTTGCAGGGCCGGGGGGTGAGGTGTGGAGTGCCGGGCCTGCTGGCTGGCTGACCCTGGCTGTGCGATTGTAGCCAGCGGCTGCTGGAGGCCAGAGGTGGGTCTGGGATGTCGATGGGGCAGCCAGTCGACAGGGTGGGGTGGCCAAGGTGAAGGTGGGCCCCAGTCCATGCAGAGCAGCAAGCCCCTCCCCACCTCCCCCACACAACACACACAGGCTCCTATTTTAGATTGACTTGACCTGGCCTCTAGGGGAGGGGGTGGCTCAGGCTCCCAGGATTTTAACGAGTCATTGAAGGGCCATCATGATTTTCGGGGGTGGGGGTTACTTGGGGGAGGGAGGGCCGTGGTCCCAGATCTCTTGCCTAAATCTCTCAAAAGTGTCAACAGACAAAAATCCTCTGCTCTGTGCCCAGACCTTGCCCTGGTTGATTCAGGCACCGGAGTTTGAGGAGCTCCGGGTAGGGGAAAAGGCACACAGTCTAGGTCTGGGCTCAGCCTCTGCTGTGTGACTTTAGGTGAATGACTGCACCTCTCTGATCCTCCATTTGTCATCTGCAAAATGGTGGTGCTGTCCCGGACTCACAGGGTGCTGGGAGGATGAACTGAATTGTAGACTTCAGGGCCTGGCACGTAGGCAGGGTGTAACATGTGCTTATTTCCTCACCATGCCCCCCATGCCCTGGCTCCTACCCTCTGTTTGGGGTGCGACAAAGTCTGGGCATTTACCCAGAAGCCTTGTGGTTTGAGAGGCTGTTTTCTGAGACTGGAGGGGCTGGACACCAGGATCAAGTCTAAGTTCGTCCCCAGGCCCCGGCCACCGGGATTCGCTACCCACTGCTCCAGCTGGGGGCCTCCGCCCAGCTCTAAGCGAGGTGGGCTGTCAGGGCAGGACTGTGGAGTGCTGTGCAGGCTCTGGAGACAGGCAAACCTGGGGGGGGGGGGGGAGAAGCGTCCCAGCTCTGCTCTTGGCCTCTATGACCTTGACAAGCAGCCGCCTCTTTGAGACTCCATTTCTTTAAATGGGAATAATGCCGCCCCCCCTGGTTGGGTCCCAGGGGCACTCACTGATTGGGGGTGGGGTGTTGGCACACAGCAAGGGGGCAGTGATGACAGTGCCCCCACCTTTGCCCCAGCCCTTCCTCCTCCTCTGCCGGCTCCCTCCCCTCTCCTTTCTCTGCTCTTTCAGATCCCTTCCAGACCAGCTCTGAGAGTCCAGGGCCCGACCCTCGGCCCACAGATGACGCCTCACTGTCCCGCTGTGTGTGTGGGGTCCGCACCAAAGCCCCAGATCCCCTGCCTGCAGCACGGCTTCGTGGCTATGCTCGGTTGAGGGGAGTCCTGCTCCCCGCTCCCTTTGGCTGCTCTGGGCTGCACGGCCCAGCAGGCCTGGGCAGTTCCGGTCGGTTTGTCAAGGACATTCTTAACAGCCACAGTAAACCCCGGCCGGCGGGGTGGGGGGAGGAGGGGGGCAGGTGCTGATTGGTGGGACACACACCTGTGCAGGTTCACCTGAGCTGCAGGCAAAGGAGTCCCTGTTAGAGGCCGTCTGGGGCCACAGCAGGGCGGACGGACACAGGTGAGGGGCCGCTGGGTGCAGAGCTGGGGATGGACTCGGAGGGGGTTGGCCAGGCCCCGGGCAAGCCGGGCAGGAGCAGAAGGGCCGGGGGGCAGGGAGCCGGCGTCTCATTTCGGCCTCTCCTTCTGGGCCTGGGGTTTTGCTGTCTCTGTGGCCTGAGCTGAAGCGGAGGGGGCTCGGGGATGGGCTCAGTGAGTCAGAGCCGCCGGTGGAGACACAGACAAGTGTCCAGGGAGGGCGGGAGCGGGGACCACGGGAGGGGGAAGGGCTCTGAGGCTCACAGACCTGCTTTGGCCAATCCGCTGCTGGACGCGAAGGGCACAGACAGGAACCCCACCTCACACTCTACACGCACATGCACGCCCTTGCTGACACCCCAGGGCCCGCTAGACTTAGGTCCTCCGGGTAGCTTTACACACACGCACACACCCGGGGAAAGCCACCTTTCCTTTTGACCCGGAAAGTAGCAATATTGGAAGGGCCAGGGGGCAGGGCGCGGGCACTGGGGCAGCTCCCCGAGGGTCCCCCCGCCTGCCGGCTGCCTCAGGGACGCCATGGAGGAGCTGGTGGGGCTTCGAGAGGGCTCCTCGGGGAACCCTGTGACTCTTCAGGAACTGTGGGGCCCGTGTCCCCGCATCCGCCGACGCATCAGAGGTGAGAGCTGGGTCCCTTCCCCTCCCCTCCCTGTCAGAGACCCCTCAGGACCTCACCCCCTTCCCAAGCTGCACCTCCCGCCCTCTGAAAGCCCACCAGCTGCCCTCCCCCTTTATCTGCCCCACCATCACTGCCCAGCACCTCCTGGTGGCAGAGAGGGAAGGGATCTGTCTGTCCATCAGTCTGTGGGACAGACGTGCTCGACGCCTGCCCTCTGCCTTTTGGGGTTGCAGCCCCGATGCCTGATCACTGTGCCCGGGGCCTTGCTAAGGCCCAGGGGGTGCTCTCTGGCCCAGCACCAGCCCCGCAGGTCCTGGGACAACACAGGAGTGTTGCTAGTGCTGCCTAAGCTACGGACCCTGTGGTGATTAGAGAGAGCGGTAGCTCCCAGCACTCTTCCTCACCCCTGAGCCTTGATTGTCCTTCCATAAGTACCCCAGTGTGGGGCAGGCCCATCGGAGGCCCCCTGCGCTGCCACCATCACCACCACAAATCCTGCTCTGCCCCCACGTGAGGCAGTGCCCCTGCAGGCGACCCTGGGCTGGACCGCCTCCCCAGCCCCACGCTGCCCTGCCCTTCCTGCCTGAGCAAGAGCAGGCTTCAGGGAAGGGCTGTCCATGCCCGCCTGGCTCTGGGCTGTGACCCTGTGCCCCTGTGCCAGGCGGCTTGGAGTGGTTGAAGCAGAAGCTGTTCCGTGTGGGTGAGGACTGGTACTTCCTGGCCACTCTCGGGGTGCTCATGGCCCTGATCAGCTACACCATGAGCTTCACCGTGGGGCGAGTGGTCCGAGGTAAGCGCCCCCCCGCCCCCCGGGGCACACATTCCCGCTCTGGACCCAGGGCTCTCAGGAGGCCAGGTGCGCCACCAGGTGCAGCAGGGGTGGGAGGGGTCTGGGGGAGAGGAGGCCTGGTCTGGTCCTGGCATTGCTCTTTTTGTTGTTGTTGTTAATTCTCACCCGAGGATATTTTTCCATTGATTTTTACAGAAAGTGGAAAGGAGGGAGGAGCGGGGAGGGGGGGACGGGGGCAGGGGGTGGGGTGGGGGAGAAACATCAATGTGAGAGAGACACATTGATTGGTTGTCTCCCGCATGAGCCCTGATCAAGGTTGGGGATTGAACCTGCAGCCCAGGTATGTGCCCTTGACCGGGGATTGAGCTCGAGACCCTTTGGTCTGAGGGCCAACGCTCTAACCACTGAGAACACAGGCCAGGGCCTGGCATTGCTCTTGGCTTGCTGTGTGACCCTGGACAAGCTCCTGCCTGTCTCTGAGCATCCGTCTCCTCATCTGCACCTCGAGTGAGAGAGCCCTGAACGTTCCCAAGAGCCCTTCCGTCTGAGTCCTATGTTCCCCTGGTCCTGCTGCGTGGCTCCCTCTCCTCCCTCCCTCCTTGCTCTCAACTCAGTCGCTGGGGGAGGGCACCTGCTTAGACCACCATGGGTCAGCAGGCTCTCTCCACCCTGAGGGCTCCCTGGAAGAGGGGGCGGGGGCAGGAAGAGGGTAACACCTTCTCGGGGAGACTTGCTCCGGTGCCATCGTGAGCCCCTGCCCGCACCAGACACCCATTGTCTGAGGAGCTTCACACTCTGCCTCACTTCTCACAATGACCCTGTGAGGGAGGTGCCATCACTAGCCCATTTGACAGACAGGAAAACAGAGGCTCTGAGAGGCGGAGTCACTGGCCCAAGGCCCCTCAGCTAGGGAGGGGCAAATCTGGGTTGGGATCCAGGGTCTTGCTCCTGCTCCTCTGGGGGAGCTGCTGCTCCCTGGCGGCCTGGGCCTCCCCTCTCCAGGCCTGTGTCTCCCGGTCAGTAGGGGGCACCCGAGGGCCGCGGAGCCTGTGGATGCTCCCTGATTCCTGGCTGTTCCCAGCACACAAGTGGCTGTACCGGGAGATTGGAGACAGCCACCTGCTCCGGTATCTCTCCTGGACCGTGTACCCGATGGCCTTGGTCTCCTTCTCCTCCGGCTTCTCACAGAGCATCACGCCCTTCTCAGGAGGTGAGTCCCCACGGGTTCATGTCCTCAGGCTTCTGATGGGTGGAGGCAGGAGGCAGTACCCCTACTTCATAGCCGGAGAAATCAGGCTCAGAGGAGTCGTGTCACTTGCCCCAAGTCACACAGCACGAAGACCAGATCTTGAGTCCTGGGTCGCTGATGGCTCTGGCCCCTTTCTGAGAGTTTTTCTGGGTGGTGATGGGGAGAACTGGTGGCAGGTTCTCCTTTAGGGCCGATGCCCAGAGTATTCCCAGGCCTCTCAGCTCTGCCTCCAGCTCCTGGCCAGCAGATGGGAACTCCAGGGGTGCATGCAGGGTGGCCTGGATCCCCCCTCTTCCCCTGAGTCTGCCACAGCCACCTGCCAGGCCCAGCTGGAAGGACATGGGCTATTCACGTCTCCTTTCTGACCCTCGGCCTCCTCCTCTGAAAAATGGGTTTAGGAAACCTACTCCTGGGTTTTAAAGGACCTGACAGAGGGTGGTGTGAAACACTGTGCAGGGTCAGGTGTGAAGAGTTTAACCCCAAGGTTGTCCCTCCTGCTGCCAAGGTTCTGGAATCCCGGAGCTGAAGACCATCTTGTCCGGGGTGGTCTTGGAGGACTACCTGGACATCAAGAACTTTGGGGCCAAGGTGGTGGGCCTCACCTGCACCCTGGCCTCCGGCAGCACCATCTTCCTGGGCAAAGTGGTACGAGCAAGCGAGAGAGCACCCCCCACACTCACCCTCCCTGCTCCCCCAGGCCTGCCTTTTCCCTACCACCCACCCCCGCGGGGTCAGGCGGGACTCGGGCCAATGCCCGCCTTCCGGGGCTCAGTCTTGGGGAGGCCGGGTCCCCAGAGTGTGACAAGAGGCTGGGAGATGGAAGAGGTGGGTGTGGGGGGGCAACCGTGCTGTGTCTGGAGGAGGTTCCCTCTGTCCCCCAACCCTGGGCCCTGAGAGGGAGCAGCAAGGGCCTGGCTCCCCTCCAGGTCCCTTCTCCCCTCAGGGCCCCTTCGTGCACCTGAGTGTGATGATCGCTGCCTACCTGGGCCGCGTGCGCACCAAGACCATTGGGGAGTCCGAGGTAAGGGGCTCGGGGAGGGCCCCCCTTGGAGGGAACGAGAGGGAGGGGGCTGACTCTGAGCCCAGGACTCGGATCCCCAGAACAAGAGCAAACAAAACGAAATGCTGGTGGCGGCAGCGGCAGTGGGCGTGGCCACAGTCTTCGCAGCGCCCTTCAGCGGTGAGACCCTGGCCTTCACCCCTCCCCTGGCACCTTGGGGCTCCCCACAACACCCCCCCACACCCGTCTCCTGGAGGGGCCGGAGGAGGGATGAGGACTAATTTTGGTCTTGTTTCTTACAGCAGTCTTGCCCGCTGGGGGCGGGGGGGGGGGGTGAGTGAGTGGGTGTCAGGCATCTTGGGGTTACCTTAGACAGGCTTGGGTGTGAGAGCAGCTCTCTGGGTGGCCCTGGCCCAGCAGTTCACCTCCCGGAGCCTCACTCCCTCATCTGTGCAATGGGATCATAGCAGTCCCATCCACAGGGAGGAGGTGGCCCGGCCCTCCCCTCATTTGGGCTCAGAGCCAGAGAGAAGGGGGGCCCTGTCTGCAGGCCAGGAGGGCAGGACCAAGGGGCCAGGGCGCCGGGTTCTGCCTGAGCTCAGCGTTGCCCCCAGGCGTCCTGTTCAGCATCGAGGTCATGTCTTCCCACTTCTCCGTCTGGGATTACTGGAGGGGCTTCTTCGCTGCCACTTGCGGGGCCTTCATGTTCCGCCTCCTGGCCGTCTTCAACAGCGAGCAGGGTGAGTCCCAGGGCTCACCCACACCGCCCCCACCTCCTCTCCATTCTCCCCTCTCCCTCCTCTTCCATCCCCAGCTCCTTCTAGGTGGGGAGGAGGATTAGGCGGGAAGGATGGGGCCCTGAGGGTAGAAGGGACAGAGCTGGGCCGGGAGCAGGGGCCAGGGCTGGGGTGTGAGTGTGACGCCCCCGCCCCTCCCCGCAGAGACCATCACCTCCCTCTTCAAGACCAGCTTCCGGGTGGACGTCCCCTTCGACCTGCCGGAGATCTTCTTTTTTGTGGCGCTGGGGTGAGCGGTGCCTCGGGTCCCTGCAGCCCCACACGGGCTGCCCGTGGCCCTGGGAGCTGCTCTGGACTCACCCCACCTCCCCGCAGGGCCATCTGTGGCGTCCTGAGCTGCGCGTACCTCTTCTGTCAGCGAAATTTCCTCATCTTCGTCAAGACGAATCCGCTCACCTCCAAACTACTGGCCACCAGGTGGGCTCTGGGCCGCGGCTGGGCCTCTCAGGGAGACACCCCCCCCCGCCCAGGGACTCAGCCTCCTGAGCCCACAACTCCTACTGACTGCACCCCATCTTCCTACTGAGCCCCCTAAACCTGCCAAGCCCCCACCCCACTTAAGGAGCCCCATTCCCTCATAACACCCCTCTCAGGTTCCCACAGTCACTGTTCCCCTGCTCACTGGGCTAGCAACCCTCCATGTAACCCCCACCCTCTGGAGTCCTCACTCCCTCACTGAACCCCACTCCCTACAGAGCCCCAAGCCCTTTACGGAGCCCCCTCTCCTCCCCAAACTTGGCTGCCCCTGGCATTGGCACCTCAAAGTCAGCCCCTACCTGCCCTTGATTGGCCACGTACTCCCCCCCCCCCCCCCCCCGCCTGGCTGGGCTCTGTCCTGGTCCCAGCAGGCCTCTGTCCCAAACTCTCCCATCAGCCCTGCCCCTTGTCACACAGCCACTGGGGGACGGACCCTCCTCCTGTTCCTGCCCAGGTGTCAGCCCCCAGGGGTGGGCCATGAGGTGGGGGCGAAGGGGAGAGTGGCCCTGGAGCTCCCCCCTGCACCCCCACAGCAAGCCCCTATACTCCGCCCTGGCCGCCCTGGTTCTCGCCTCCATCACCTACCCCCCTGGCGTGGGCCGCTTCATGGCTTCTCGGGTAAGGGGCCCTGAGCTGGGGCAGTGGGAGAGGGGACCCCGATTTGTTTCCACTTAGTTCCTGTCATCTCCCTCAATCCCCACGAAGGGGAGGTTTGAGCAGCTCCCAAGTCCCCTACACTGGGAAGCGGGGAGAGGGTGGGAGGCCAGGTCAGGCAGTGGGGGGTGGGGGGACGGCTGCCCGGAGGGGTGGCAGGGGGCCCTCATGCAGATTTCTGAGCTTCCCCCCACCCCACCCCACTCCAGCTGTCCATGAAGCAGCACCTGGACACACTGTTTGACAACAACTCGTGGGCACTGATCACCCGGAACTCGTCCCCGCCCTGGCCCGCCGAGCCCGACCCCCAGAACCTGTGGTTCGAGTGGTACCACCCACGGTTCACCATCTTTGGGACCCTTGCCTTCTTCCTGGTTATGAAGGTGGGCGCCCGGGGCCCCCAGGCGTATGCCTACAGCTGAGACCCGTCATGGGGGGATGGGGTGCCTGCCCTGGCATGCAGCACAGCACCTGGGCCTTCCGCCCCCGCTCCCTGGCCTGACCCTTGCCCTCTGTGTGTCGGGACCTAGTCGCTCTGGCTCTCTGAGCCTTGGTTTCCCTATCTTTAAAATGGGAGAGTTATGGCGCCTCCTCAAAGGTAAGGTTGAGAGGGAAGGACGGAGAGCCCCTGGCACACAGTAGGCACTTTGTCAGCGTCAGGCTCCTCCTGCTGGCCAACGCCTTCTCTGGCACCAGACCCCGGCAATGCGCCTGAGCACCCTGGGACACGCCCTGTCCCCTGTCCTGCCCCTCCCTTGCCCACTATGGCCCAGCTGCCTCGAGCCTCTGCCCCTCTGGGTTCCCCACCCGCAGTTCTGGATGCTGATCCTGGCCACCACCATCCCCATGCCCGCTGGCTACTTTATGCCCATATTCATCTTTGGTGAGTGTGGGGTCCTGAGGGTCTTAGAGGTTCAGGGTGTGGGGCAGGCCATGGCTCCTGGTCCGCCCCTCCCTCCCCTGCATGGTACTGAGGTCATCCCCAAGGATGGAGGGCTGAGGGGCGGGGTCAGCCCTGCTCACCCGAAGTCTGTGGTTAGGAGCTGCCATTGGGCGCCTCATAGGGGAGGTCCTCTCTGTTGCCTTTCCTGAGGGCATCGTGGCCGGAGGGGTCACCAACCCCATCATGCCCGGGGGGTATGCCCTGGCAGGTAAGTGGGCCAGGGCCCCTCTGGGTGGGCTGGACCTGGAGGATCAGTTAGTGGTTCTGCAGGACATAGGGGGTCACAGAGCCCCCCAATGAGCCCCCACCCTTCCCTGAGCCCCATTACTCTCTCCAGCGCCTGTCTTGTCCCTGATCTCTCATCCCCGCCCTCACTGCTCTCCCCTCACTGAGCCCAGGCTTTGGGCGCTCCAACAGTGGCCAGCGTGTGGCCTCTGGACAATTCCCACCCGGCCCCTGGCCACAGCCTCCCCAGCCCCGCCCTCTGCGGGAAGCTGGCCCCTGGCCTGAGCCGCCTGCCCTGGCTCTGCCCCCTGCAGGGGCTGCGGCCTTCTCAGGGGCTGTGACCCACACCGTCTCCACGGCGCTGCTGGCCTTCGAGCTGACCGGCCAGATCGTGCACGCGCTGCCCGTGCTGATGGCGGTGCTGGCGGCCAACGCCATTGCCCAGAGCTGCCAGCCCTCCTTCTACGACGGCACCATCATTGTCAAGAAGCTGCCATATCTCCCGTGGATCCGGGGCCGAAAAATCAGGTGAGTGGCGCCTGCCTCAGGCTGGCTGAGACGGGTGGGGGTGTCCCGGTGGGCTGGGGGTGCAGCTCCCTGCAATACCTCACTGCAGCTGACCTTGGATGTGGGTGGTGTGGGAGGGGCTGCTCTCTGGTCTCCGCTCTCCCCAGCTCCCTGCGTGACCTTGGGCAAGTCCTTGGTCTCCTGGGCCTCCATGTCTTACTCGTCATTAGTCCGCCTTCACAGCAGGACAGATACCGCCCAGTTAGTCCGCCTTCACAGCAGGACAGATACCGCCCAGGTGTTGGGAACGGGCTCAGGGAGGTGCCGTGTCTTGCTCCAGGTCACAGAGTCAGCAGCAAGCCTGGGAGGCCCCTGCCGCTCCCCATGGTGCTCTGTGGAAGTGACACAAACAGGCTTGGAGGTCCTCACTCCACCAGGCAGGACCAGAGCAGCCTCTGTCCCCGGAGAGGCAGGACTAAGAGGCTGAGAGTGCTGGGTCCGGGGCCCAGCTCTGAATGCATGCAAGCCGCCACCTTGTTCTAAGCCTCAGTTCCCCCATCTGTAAAATGGGGGTGTTTTCAAACTTTAAAGCCCCCCCTTTTTTTGCCATCAAACTTTTCTTCAAATGACATTCTCTAAGGAAGGCTTCCCAATGAAAGAGCCTGAAGCTGGTCTGCGGGGAGCTAGGGGCCGGGGGGAGGGGGTGGGGCTGAGAATTCAGAGCCAGACCATAGGTGAGCGGTCCCCAGGTGCCCTCGACCTCGGGGCCCCAGGAGTTGCTCATTCTGGGAACCTCTCAGTCTGTGCCCACACTGGAGAAGCAGCAACTCTCCCTCTGGGGTACCCCGCCTCGTGCCCTCACCCCAGGACCTGACGGGAGCACCCCTCTGCCTGCAGCTCTCACCGCGTCATTGTGGAGCACTTTATGAACTGCAGCATCACCACGCTGGCCAAGGACATGCCACTGGAGGAGGTGGTCAAGGTCATCACCTCCACAGACAAGGCTGAGTACCCCCTGGAGGAGAGCACAGGTGCTCAGCGGGAAGATGGGGGGGATGGGGAGGGGCCTTCCCTCCACCTCCTCTTGGTGGCGCAGGCCCAGGAGAGGGGCAGCAGGGCACTGGCCCTACATCTGGATCCGGGCTCAGTAACTGGGTGCCTTGGGGGAATCACCTCACCTCCCCGAGCCTGATTCCTCCTCGTTGTTAGGATGGAGACTGACCAGCCTGCTTGGGGTGGCTTCTGTGCTGCCACGGGAGATGAGAGGGCGCTTGCGAAGCTCTCCAGGGCAGACCTGGGGGTTCTAGAGGCCAAGCCTGGTGTGCGGGGCATGGGGGTAGGGTGATGGGGCGCTACCAGGTTCTCGAAGGGTTCCTTCATCCTCCTCCCCTTCCAACATTGCCCCGCTGAGCCCCGCCACAATCCCTGGTAGCATCTTTGTAAAGAAAGATGAATGGGGCCTTGTTAGCAGACACAGAAGCAGAGTCTTGGGGAAGCATCTGGCTAGAGCGTCGCTCTCCACTGGCAAGTACAGTGCGAGTGGGAAAGGAAAGTCGGGGGGCGTACAGCCATGTCCACTCACGGCCACTGTCACCTTTATGTCCCCTCTGTGCACATGAGACAGGGTGCACCCCTAGCAAGCGTGGCACAGCTGGGTTTTGGTCCCCGCTTGTCCTTTGGGCAGGTACCTCATGGAGTGAGCAACCTGCACAACCATACGGTCCTAACCGCCCCACAGCCACCCTAAGAGGCCTGGGGCAAACCACGCTACGACCTGCGGTGTCCCCACCCAAATTGGGGCAGCCCTTACATCATCCCACAGAACACGCCCACGGTCCCCCTTGAACATGTTCACAGAGGAGACCCCCTCCGACAGGATTCCCCTCCTGGGACAAAGACAATTGGCCTCCAGACAAAGTCCATGCCACCCTCAGAGCCACAGGGGGCAAAAAGCTCCCAACCCGCAGCCCTGGGCTGTGGGACCCTACTGCTCACTCAAGAAATAGCTTTAAGTGTTTGTTTCTAAAGGTCTAGTTGTAAAGTTTTTACTTTACTGGATAAGAAGCAAAACTATCAGGCTGTTGCCTCAAAACCGAGTACCTGCAAAGTCTAGTGATAGCCTGGATTGAGACTTGCCAAGCCCCTGGCACACAGTAGGACCTCAGAACATGGTGCGCTCCCGGGTGCCTGCCTTTACTGGGCTGAACTAGATGGGAATCTTCCTGGGGGGAGGGGGGAACAGAACCCCGCCCTATGGTACAGGTGTCTCAAAGCTGCTCTTGCTTTGAGGCCTGCCACATGGGGGACCTCAGGGTGAGCAGACTCCCTCCTGGCCCCCAGCAGCCTTAGCCTTCTTTGGCTACCACACCTCCATGTCAGAAGCTGAGTGAACTCGGGTAAGACAATTAGCCTCTCTGTGCTGCTAAGCCTCAGTTTCCTCATCTATAAAATGGGTGACAATAGTTCCTGACCCACAGGCTGCTGGACGTTCCTGAGAGACACAAGAACACCTAGCACAGTTATTGGCACGTAGTAGGTGCCCAGGAAATACAAATTCCTGCCTCATAATTCAGCTCTCTCCCTCTCCCTCTCCCTCTCCCTCTCCCTCTCCGCTCGTCCAGAGTCTCAGATCCTGGTGGGCACCGTGCGAAGGGCCCACCTGCTGCAGGCCCTCCAGGCTGAGCCACCTTCCTGGGCTCCAGGACACCAAGTGGTACTCACGTGGGGTGTTGGGGGAGTTGGGGAGTCAGCAGGGTGGGAGTGGAGGGGACAGCTGATCTGTGGGAGAGGAGGATTGAGCGGGGCAGCCTGGGGGAGAGGGAGGCCGGGCCAGGCTCCCAAAACCTTTCCCTGTCCCCAGCACTATCTCCAGGACATCTTGGCTGGGGGCTGCCCCATGGAGCCAGTGACCCTGCAGCTGTCTCCAGAGACCTCCCTGCACGAGGTAATGGGGAGGACTCAGGCACGGGCACAAGGACCCTGGGGTAGAGGGGAAGAGCGGAGAGGGAAACTTCGGCTCCACCTTCCCTACACCGTCCCCACATGCAGCCAGCGTGGCTCTGTCCCTCCTGGGCCGCTTCCTTATCGGCAGAACGGGCAGAGCAGCTCCTGCCCTCTCCGAACCCCACTCCCAGAGTTGTTGGGATGATGCAAAGGCTAGGGCAGTGAGAGGGTTTACATAACAGAATCCTCTGGGTGGAGAGAGGCAGTGTTTGAATTATGTCTTTGGGTTTCAATTTCAGATCCACTGCTTTCTCCCTGTGTGATCTTGGGAAAATCATTGAATCCCTTTGAATGCTCATACCCTCCCTCTCCCCCACACAAGCACAGAGCCTGGAACACGGGGTCAGGGAGGGGAAGAAGCCGGTTGGGGGTTTGGGGGTGGTCCCAACCCCTCTGTGACACTGTTGCTGGATAACAGGTTTTTCCCATTGGTTCCTTGTGTGGACTCTGGCGACCCCTCGTGGTCGTGCTGGATATTGCAGGCTCAGGTCCTGGTCTTCCACCACCATCCCCTTCCCGGGTGGGAGATGAGGAGGCGTGGGTACCACTCCCCCACCTCTGCTCAACGCCTCCGGTTAGGGATAAGTTGAAGCCAGAGGGCGGTGTGGGTGCCACCTGCCCTCCAACATTTCCCACCCACCCTTCCTCCAGGCACACAACCTCTTCGAGCTGCTGAACCTTCAGTCCCTCTTTGTGACGGCTCGAGGCAGAGCTGTGGGCACCGTGTCTTGGGTGGAGGTACCAGGGTCCCCCGGGTGGAGCAGAGTGGAGGGGCCACGCTCGAGCAGGCTGGGGAGGTGGAAGGCACCAATACCCTCCCATCCAAATTTTGAGGGGCCTTGTGGGATTCTGATGAGCCCCACTTCCTGGCCCAAAGTGGCCACTGGGCCTGGCTACCCTACCTTATTTTATGACCAGTGGCCAGCCCTGCCAGTCTCTAGGCCTCAGTGATCCCATCCGTGCAATGGGGAGGCACTGACTCGAACACTCACCCCAGAATCAACCCTTAGGGGAGTCCAACAACACTGGAGCCCCCATTCGCAACCTCCTCTACATCCTTCCCTCCAAAAGCCCCCCTTTCTCTGTTTTAGTTGAAGAAAGCAATTTCCAATGTGACAAACCCACCGGCCCCAAAGTGAGCCAGCCTGGCAAGAAGAACCGGGGCACCTAAGTGCCCTGGCGAAGCAGATGGGGCAGGCATCCTGCCTCCCTGCCCACCACAGCTCGCCCTACCCCCCAGCCCAGCTCAGCTCCTCAGTGAAGCAGGCAGCTCGGACCTTGCACCTGGGTGGGATAAGTGCCACCTGCCTTGAAGGACAAATCCCACCGTGGACCGAGCTCAGAATGCAAAACAGTATAAAACCTGCACACAGTGGGCACTCCACCCTCGTCGGTCAAATTCGCCAGTGACGGATGAGATTGATCGACGCTGTCACCAAGGGCAGGCACGATCCCCTCTGGGGTCGACGCCCAACCAGAGGCTCCTGAGAGAAATAAAGCTATTTCCCAGAGCCTCAATTCATCCCCCATCTCCGCTCCAAGGGCACTCACGTGGCACCCCAGCTTCTTCTCGTGCTGGCTGAGCAAGATCTTGGGGCTGCTCGTGGTCAGGTGGGCAGTGCAGGCCCGGGGTCCTGGTCTCCCACTCCTCCTGGCAGGGAGATATGGGGAGAGTGGGTCCCCCACCAGGCCTTATACTGCTCATCCTCACGTATAAGCAGGACCCCGTGGCCCAACTACCAGCCCCAGCCCCAGCCTCCTCCTTGGCCGAGCCAGGGCTGCTGGTGCAGGCCCCTGGGTGCAGCTCCCTGTGGGGACTCTCCCAGCTGGGGGGCACCACACTGACCAGCTGTATGTGGGTTGAGGGGCAGGGGCCCTCCCCTGAGTCCCTCTAGACCAGTGGTTCTCAACCTTCCTCATGCCGCGGCCCTTTAATACAGTTCCTCATGTTGTGGTGACCCCCAACCATAACATTATTTTCGTTGCTACTTCACTGTAATTTTGCTACTGTTATGGATCGTCATGTAAATATCTGATATGCAGGATGTATTTTCATTGTTACAAATTGAACATAATGAAAGCATAGTGATTAATCACAAAAACAATATGTAATTATATATGTGTTTTCCGATGGTCTTAGGCGACCCCTGTGAAAGGGTCATTCGACCCCCAAAAGGGTCGCGACCCACAGGTTGAGAACCGCTCGGCCCAGGAGCCCCAAGGACACCGTTTCCCCAGCAGAGACCAGGCCAAGTCCATCCAGGGTGAATCCGCCACTTTAATGTCTTCAGAGAGCTTTCAGGGAGGTGACAGGAGGGCGCAAGGAGGGGGAGCGGGGGCACCAGGGTCAGAGGGTGAGGGACAGACAGTCCATGGAGACGGGTGTCCTCTGATGACCACTTAGGAGCAGATGCTTAGCTACCGGAAGAGGCTACCCCACCTCTGATGGGCAGAAGCACAGAGGGAGGTGGGAGGGACTGGCTCTGGGACCAGGCAGGGTCCCTAGGCCCCACAGCAAGTGGGTCTCCCAGGCCCTTTGAGATTGTCTGCCTGGGGGCCTGCCCTGGTGCCTGCTGAGTCCTTGAGCTCGGGTGGCAGGAACCCTGCTGGGGGGAAGGGGCCCACAGGAGCCGAGAAGGGAGAGAGGGATTATGGCTCCCACTGCGGGCAGGTCCACGGAGGCACGAAGTGGTCCATGGGAGTGCCGGCCTCGCCCTTTGCCTCCCCACCCCGTGCCTGCCCGGAAGGGTCGAGAGGCCCAGCCTGACCCCACATCCTGAGACGCGTGGGCTGCCAACAGGCGAGACGGCGGTGTACTTGGGCCTCAGTTATAGAACACCTCGTCCTCCTCCTCTGAGAGGGAGCCGCTGTCTACCGAGGGGAGGGAGCCCTGCAGGCAGGACCCACCCTCGGGCCCTGGGCCCCCGGGCAGCCGGGGCCGGTGCTGCTGCTCAGGGCTGGGGGGCTGGGGGGCAGCAGCTGTGATGGGGGGCTCCTCGGGTGAGGGCCAGCCATCAGGAGAGAGGCCGGGGGAGGAGAAGGCCAGGAGGCTGTCATCCTGCGAGGGGCCGCTCAGGAGACTGTCCTGAAGGTAGATGCTGTCCAGGTCTGGAAAACCAAAGGGAGGTGGGGTTGAGGGGTAGAGTCCGGGACCCTCCTCAGCCTCCCCTGGTGTGTGAGGGTGGGCAAGGGGCAGAAGACCGGCCTCCAAATCCTGCTTTGTCACTGCCAAGCTGTGTGACCTTAGGCCAGTCACTGAGCCTCTCTGAGCCTGTTCCTCACTAGGGCAGTGCGTGTAGTTAGGAGCAGGCTCTGCATCGAGTCCTGCCCTCTGAGAACTGGGAGGACCGGTGTTCTCCCTGAGCCTCCCTCCCCTCCAGCCAGAGGAGGATTAAATGGGATCAGAGGTACATTGGCTTCACCCAGGACCCAGGCTCGTCGAAGCCCTCAGTAGTAACCCTGGGTTCTAGCACAGAAAGCCCTTAATTCACAGTATTTATTATTACTACTATTTTCTCCTTTATGCTCACGGCACCCCTTGGCAATGGGCAGGGCAAGGATCACCAACCCCATTTTTCAGATGAAGAAGCTGAGACCGAGGGAAGAAAGGGCTTATCTGAGGTCACAGTGCATTTGGTGACAGGGCGGCTTGCAGCGCCAGCTCTGCCCGCCACTCCCCCCACCCCCGCCCTGGTGCCCACTTGGGCGGTACCCTGCAGCTGGGCAATGTCCTGGGGGCTGTTCTCGGCGTGCAGCTCCTCCGCGTGCAGCTCCTCGTCGTCCAGTGAGGACCAGGCGCTCAGTGTGGCCTCTGTGATGGCGAACTGCTCAGCGACCCCTGTGGGGACAGCGGGACCAGCTCAGAGAGGGCACGGCAGGGAGGAGGGGGGTGGGGGGGCGGCAGAGTGCTTGGATGGCCTGGCACCCAACAGCCTGGGGGGGCCCTGGGCTGTCCATGCAGGCCCTGGTGATCAGAGTGCCCACCGAATGCCCTGGCCACCCCAGGCCACTGTTCTCCCTGCCCAGACAATGCCCCCGTGGTGACGCTCTGTCCCCTAAGGACCAGAGTCCTGGCCAGTGCGGGTCCCGAGCTCCGCCCCCCACTGACCGGCAGCAAAGCGGGCCTCACGCAGCTCATCGGGGAGGCAGCAGTAGTGCTCGTCCTCGGCCGGGGACAGCTCCCAGCCTGACCGCTGGGCCCTCCAGCCCTTCCACTCGATGAGGTGGGCCACGCGGCCTCGCGCCATGGCCGTGGGCTTCGTGATGTGGTCCTTGATGCTCTGCACCACCCCTGGGGACAGTGGGAGACGTCGAGTGACTGCCCAGCTCAGAGCCCCACCCCAACACCCTGCCCCCCCATAGCGCAGGCCCATCCAATGACCTGTACCCCACATCCATTCAATGCCTTGTACCCAACCAATGCTCTGCATCCTCAAAGCCCCATCCCCAGCAACGCCCTGTACCTACCCGATTCCTCAAGCCCGGCCAGTGCCTGTGCCCCTCCCTGCCCCACACCCTCCCGGTGTCCTGCTCCCAGCCAACGCTCCTGTCCACTGGGAGCTTCCTTCCCAGCCTCGCCACACCCCTCATTCTCTCTCCGACCGAGTTCAGATCCTCCTGCCCAAGATCTGCTCAAGGATCCACTCAAGATGCCCCCTCCCCAGCCCTCCCCTTTTCCATGAATAAAGTTCTGAGAGAGCATCCCTGGGCCTGGGCCAGTGCCAGCTCTGCTGCGGGTGAGACCTGTGTGGGGCGCTGCAGGCAGGGAAGGCTTCCTGGAAGAGGTGGACCGGATTGGGGCTTTGAAGGCAGTTGGGTTAGACAGATAGGGGCTGTTTCAGAGATGAGAGGATGAAGGCATGGAAGAGTCGGGTGTGGCTCCAGGGTTACCAGGACTGGGATGGCAGAGAGGCTGGGGCGCCTACCAGGGGCCAGACTGGGGGCTGAGAGCCAGGTGGAGGGCACCGATGTCCTGAGAGCAATGGGGAGCCACAGCAGGGTGATGGGAGGAGGGGAGCGGGTTAGATCTGTAGTTGAGGAAGAGCATCCTAAGTCCGGGCTTAGGGTCCCAGGGTGGAGACAGGGGGACATTAGGGGCCACTGAAGGGATCCAGCAGGAGATGGGACAGGGGCTGGGCAGATGGGGGAGGGGGGACCTGAGGGGTTCCTAGGAGTAGACATTGGATGTGGAAGCTGACAGAGAGGGTTGTCAAGAATGATTCAGCATCTCCCTAATCAAGCCCGACAACAGGTCTGGGAGCCACCGGGCTCCAGCGCCATGACGTAAAGAACAGCAACACAAGAAAGACAGTATCCACAAAGGAAGCAAGAGGAAAACCACAGGGAGGAGGGAGGGGAGAAGGGAGGGGAGGAGGGAGGGGAGGAGGGAGGAGAGGAGGGAGGGGAGGAGGGAGGGGAGGAGGGAGGGGAGAGCCTCCCTCACGTAGGGGAGTGTTGGCAACTAGGAGGCTTTTGGAGGAGGTGTCTAAGTGGCCCCTGAAGGGCAGGGGAGGTGGAGGGAAGGGGCTCAGGGGTAGGGAACAGCACAGGCTGATGGGGGGGGGGGGGCAGCAAGGGCCCGGGGAGCCAGGGAGGCCTGAGGGAGGAGGGACTAATGAAAGGCTAGAGCAAGGTACACTGAGCAAAGCTGTGGGCAAGGGAGCGCTGAGAATGGCCCAGAAGGCTGTGCTGGGAGGCAGGGCAGATGCTGGAGGGCCCGTTGAGGCCCTTTCCTGGCCTGCATGCCCATCCCCCACTGGCACACCTGCACCCTTGTCTGGAGGCTCGCCCTTAGCTATGGCAGCTGCCCCCCCCTGAGGTGCCGGAGGGGCAGGGGCAGCCAAGCCAGGCAACTGGCCGAAGTGCGATTCATGCTCCCGGGCTCCCGTGGATGGGGCTGGGGAAGGGGAGACGCCTGCCACCAGGCTTTGCCAAGCTCCTCCCCTGCCCTGTCCCGCTGCCCTCACTCCTATAGGTTGCCCTAGAGCAGTGGCTGGCAAACTGCGGCTCGGCAAACCGAGGCTTGCGAGGCACATGCGGCTCTTTGGCCCCTTGAGTGTGGCTCTTCCACAAAATACCGACTTCTGCGCATGGGCACAAAGTTTCAATCGCACTGTACGTGCACGCCCCCATGTGGTATTTTGTGGAAGAGCCACACTGAAGGGGCCAAAGAGCCGCATGTGGCTCTCGAGCCGCAGTTTGCCGACCATGGCCCTAGAGCAAGTCCCTCAGTAAACTACTCACACAGCAATTCCCATCTCAGTGACAGGCAGATGTCACCCGCTGCAGAGCGGGCGGGCGGGAGGCCACACCAGGCACACATCTGAAAACCCCGGCGGTCCCCATCAGAGTTGCTGGAGGCCCCGACAATCCCACCCATGGCGGGGGGCGGGGGTGGGGGGAACCCCTGTCACTATTTCCTGCAGACCCAGCTCTTGGAGCCTGGCATTTGGAAAATGGTGAATCCATGGGGCAACAATCCTTCCAGCTGCAATTTAGCTTCGCTCTCCCTCCCCCCCGCCCCCCTCCCCCGGCAAACACACACATACACACACACACACACACAGCTAGTGTCGGGCGGGCCATGCAACTCCAAGGGCAGGAGAGCGCAGCTGCCGCCTACCCACAAGGGACGAGGTGGCCAGGGCTGCCACGTGGTAGCTGCTGGAGCAGGA